CGGCCCCCCACTCCACGTGCAGCCACTGCCAGCCCTTCCCCCCTCCACATAATCTGCCCAGATAACAGGGATTTTACTGTATTTCAAAATAAGATTTATGGCAAAATGAAGGCTTTTAATTGATACAAAGGTATAACTTGCACAATGGTTTGACATTATTGGTTTGTAATTAAACATAACACAGAAATATAATATTTAGAGTAATATTATATTTTATTCTATTTGGTATGTAAACTAGTTGTTTTTATTTCCAAAATGTACAAATACAAATTTAAATATTTTTGAATGAAACATTATAGAGGATTTTAATTATACAATCTCTATACCAACATATTCCTTTGTAGAAGTCTCTGCATGGGTCAGCACCACTTAATATGCCATCACATAAACACCTTATGCTCACAGAAGTCAAGCAAAATTATATGTTACAGTGAAAAACATGTAAAATAAATGTTATTATTGTAGGTTCTAAATGTTGCTCCCTAACAGGTGAACCTGCTATTCAGGTTCACTATATAAACAGGAAAAGACTATTTTAGAGGACCAAAATATAGGTCCCTTTTGGTATGTTAATCATTACTTTAAAGCTGCTGCTGCTAGGATTATGTAGCAATGCTATCTGAACTAGTTTCTAAACATAACAAATAATTTTCTTTACTTCCATCATGTTACTCACAGAGAATCAATGAGTAAAATACTTTGGAGAAATAAGTGTCCTAGATATTATAAACCCAGTTCTAGTGCTAAAAAACTATTTAAAAATATGAAAATAAATTCCATTATAATCCAATATTGCAAAACAAACTCTCTTTTTTTCCCCTGAGTAAGCTGACCATAGGATGATACCAAACCAGTTTTCCTCAATTTCTGATTTTTTTTCAATAATCTGGAAGTTTCTTTCAGAATTTTCTACTGAAGCACAAATTATCTTTCTTTATGTAGAGAGGTAAAAGGTAAGAAAAATATATCCAGGTAATTAAGATAAAATGTTATGGCTTATCTAATAGTCAAAGTCACTTGAGGTCCAGTTACTGTGAGCAGCAAAAGAATCCTTTGTTACTCTGTATTTCTTTGAAGAAGCTGTTCCAGTAGTTGCTAGAGGAGAAAAACAAAAATTAATCCTTAAATCATAATTCAGATACATAATCTGGACATTGCTGCATAAGCGGCAATGACCACAGTAGTTTAGATTGTATTAACTCCTTCCATTTTAACCTACTAGCTTCAGTCACTCATTTTTCAATCAAAAAATTTTCTAGGTTTGCTGAAAGTATATGTGCATGTATGTGCAAGGTGGGGGGGGGGAGGACTGAGAAATGCAAAGAGTGAATAAATTCTCATCATAAAAGTCTTGTGACCTCAGGTTTGAAAGACTCTAACGACAAAATGAATTGGTAGAAAATGGAAAGATCCAACTAGATGCTTTGTCCACTCTAACATCCTTTCTCAGGTTCTCACATTGCCCAGTGTCCAGAGGCGGTACTTTCCACAAACAGTGTAGTGTTTCTAATGTTGTCTTTAACCCACTGCTCCTAAAATAGCCCCCTGGAACAGATGCACGCAGTCTTTATTGCACCTGTTCACTGTTTTCATTTATTCCAGTCGACGCTTCAAACTACTGTGTCCTGCATGGAGACATGAATGTGTACTCTAAGGTATGCCTTGCTACACCTTTGTTCCTACAAATAAATGGTAAAGAGTCACTAGTTCAGGGGTGGGCAAAATGGCAGATCCAGCCAGCAGCCAGACTCCCTTTCCCAGCAGCCCTTGCCTGTATTGCTGAGGCTGGTTTCCATGGAGATCTCAACAACAGCAGGGCCTTGACAGTGTGGGGCCAGGGTTTCCATGGAGGTTGGCCCCAGCAGTGCCAGCAGGGTGTGTGGCTGGGTGGGAAGTTGCTCCAGGGCCAGGATCTTGCGGCAGTGACAGCATAGTCTAGAGCCGGGGTGGGCAAAATGTGCCAGGTCATTCTATCTGGCCCACAGGCCCCCCCAAAATTTAGAAGATTAATATTTATCTGCCCCTGGCTGCCTGTCATGCGGCCCTCGATGGCTTGCCAAAACTCAGTAAGCGGCCCATCACCCAAAATAATTGCCCGCCCCCGGCCTAAAGCCAAGGCAGAGCCATGATCCACTGCCTGCATGTCCCTGCCCAGGGGCAGCTGTCTGCTGGCTCCGTGCACATTGGGAGGGGTCCTGATATGCATGGGGTTGGGAGATAGCTGCTACTACAGCTGCCAGAGCTCTCCTGGTCCTGTGCAGATTGGGACACAGCTGCCAGCAAGCCCGGTGCCCAGCAGGGCTTCCCCACGCAGTAAGGGGAAGCCAGGAGCTGAGCAGTGCCAGGACTGGGGACAGAGAACTCCTTTGTTCCCCATGGCCCCTTGCTGGTGTGGCTGACTGGGAGCAAATTTGCTCCCTGTCCGGGTCTACATAAGCAGTACTGTGCAGTAACTAATGTCCAGTGAATCTATTACCTATATTTACAGGTATTGAGAACCCCACATTAGCATAATTTATTGTGCAGTGGCTGCTGAGCACAGTTACATGGTGACCCAGTACTGCACGATAGATGAGTCTACTCTGCAGTGAAGCATCTCATGTAGATGTGCCAAGGATGTCATAGCTCAGATGGCTGTCCACTCACTGTCACTTTTGTGGTTTCCATTCTGAGGCCTTTAACTCTTGCCATTGCAAAAGGAGCCTAGGTGGAGTGTCAATTCTGCTACAGGGACCAGGCAGCTAAAGGTTAGGTTCAGCAATACTGAACATCATGATAGCCAAGTCACTCTGTAGATCAGGGCTTTGCTTCAGTTCCTGCTCTGTACAATTGGGATAAACAACACTTTTCTACCTCACAGGAGTGTTGTAAGGATAAACAGATTAAAACTTGCGGGATATTCTGAGACTATAACAGTAACTATAGAACTATGTAAAAGAGATACGTAAGTGGATTTTCTTAGGGTGTATGCAGCCAGAGGCAGTCTCTTCATACAGTAGATAAAAGTTTTAAGCAAATTATACATATTCCTAGTGAAACCATTACCTTTTTGAAAATCTCAACCCGTAGTCTGTTACTCTGTATGATCACCCGTTTCTGTTTTTCTTCTTGTTTCTTTTTTACTTCAGGCAAGTTATTATAAATCCTGGAATAAATTCAGAAAACAAAAGTTTTAATATACCATTCTATAATGTCACTACTAACTTAATTTTCAACAGTTAAAATATCTTCCAGGCAATGTCTGGTATTGTTATACATTTATAAATATCTGAATTAGATTTCACACAGATATCTATTAGCAAAAATGTTGGTATCGCAGCAAAAGATTTTGACCTGTTAGAAAAGATTCTTTATTTTGAAATGATTAAAACACACAAAGAGTTAGTTTATCTCAGTTCCATCTGTGCAATTCTGGAGGAATTTCAGTGAGCACAGTGGAGTTAATCTGGGTTTACAGCAACGTAAGTGAGATCAGAATCTGGCCGATAAGCTTTTTGGGCAATTGAATCTGGAGGCTCAGAGTAGATATATCACAATATGAATTCCAACAACAACGGTACAGGTTTTTCAAAAATATAAGAAAAACAACATTATAACTCTATTGACTGGTAAGATTTTCTCACTGATGAGATCTTCAGGTCCCCTCATCAGGTCCCTTTTATGCAAAAAGAAATTCTGTCAAACCTTAATATAACTGCTGGTCTTGGTTACTATAACAAAAGAAACTTTATGGCTGATCCTTTTCCTATCAAAGTCAATAAACAATGACTCCTGACTGAAAAAGGAACAGGATTAGGCTCTCTGTAATAAAATAGCACCTTCTTACTGAATGGTCCTGCTCTTTGTGTGCATTCTGATCTGAATCACATGTACACTGATCTGATTACTTTAGTGGCTATAAGGTTTTACTTTTTCTATCCTATTTTGCAATACACAACCCAGACAGCAACCCATTCTGGCTTGTATGCTATCAACAGATTTTCTGTTCTTTAACAAGGACAATGGGACAGATTGTGCAATTGTACTTCTTTACAGGGGGAAATTGCATTGAAGACACATAGCACTGTTGTCAACTAAATAAGGTGCAAAACCTATGGAGGATCAGATACCCAAGTGTCTAATATTTTATCATTGTTGCTAGGATGTGCCAGAGGGTTGCTGCCTAGCACTTTCTGAACATTTGAAATACCTCAGAATGGATGCCTAGAAGGTAAGGGCATGTTTGAAAATCACATTTGGAAATTCTGGCCTATACTGCTCTGCAGAAACACATTTTTATGTCTGGAGAAAAGAGTCCATGCTCCCTTTAATGGTTATATAAGAAAATAACTTATAATGTTAACAAGGAAAAATGTAGAATAATAATAATAAGTATGACAGAAGATGGAGAAAGCAGACTGCCAGATAAGAGCCCCAAGGAATATTTGACAGTGCAAACCTTATTGCACTTTTGGACCTTGGACCTAATATGGGTGAGACTGCAAGAAGAAAAATTACTTATTACAGAGATGGAACTATTACTATATTTTGAGGGCTACAACATACACACTATTATACACAAATGTCTATTAGTAAACAGGCTTGAAAAAAAACATTTAGTACATTGCTAAAGATGGTAAGATAGGTGAGAAGCAACTAGACCATTATGGACTTTTTAAATGCAGAAAGAGCACCTCAACCTACCTCCAAGCATAGTTGTGCAGAAACGTGCCATAACTACAGGACTGCTTCTTGCTTGTGTTGCCACATAAAAAAGATGGGAAGAAGCAAAAACATGACCTACCCTGACAAGGAAGAAGAAATGGCTCGGAGGCTGCACTCCATGAAGGGGCATAATGAAATGTCTGTTTTCCTTTTCCCTGTGCAAATCAGAGTCCAAGGATGCTCTGGATCAAACCCTACTGCATCTATTAGATGCCTGAATTGTACTGCTAGGTACTTAAACCCAGGCCTATTCTGTTCAAGCCCTTGAAAAACTTTAATATTTATCCTTTTGTAACATGGCTTCAGGTTAGACTCCAGCTAAGTCACATATAGCAGCAACATTAATGTTTTTTTCAGAGCCACAAGCAAAGTGAAACAGCAGGGTGCACAAAGGCACCAAATAAATAGAGTATGATCCAGCCCACTTCAGTGCTTCTCTCAGATAATGCAGATCCATACTCTTCCCAAAGCACAGTTGAGACTGAGTCATAGGAAAGCTGTGTGCAGTTTTAAAAAACAGATGTGTGCAACATGCACAAGCAGGGCAAACAGTATGACATATCAAAGATCATAGATGATGAAGATAAATAGGAAATGCTGTGCCTTTGTTAGGTACCAAGGAATCCCAGTGAATGCTAAACCAAAACACTCTGTACCTTTTAGATCTCATATGCATCTCCTTCTCCGAAATGAATCTTTCCTTTGGTTTAAACAGGTTATCTAGCAAAAGGAAAATAGAATTAATTGAAGAAACTGTATTTAGAGGGCTTTATTGAAATGACAAGAGTAGCATTTTCCCTAATTTCACTTACACAGTGTTATGCTTACTAAACTATTATGGATGCAGGGCCTGATCAAAGTCTCTTTGAAGCCAGTGGAAACATCCCTGGAGCTACCAGGCCCTTAAGCTGCCCTTTAGAGTGGGAGGAATGGATAAGACCCATTGCCACCAACCTCATTACACAGCCCATTTATTTTAAATGCATATAACTTCTGTCACTGTCACATACAGCAATGTTATTCAGGCCAGGAACCAGCTGATGATTAGCGCTGCATGGGGGGGAAGCTATTTTCTCTTGGATTCTTTTCTGCCATTGTCAACTGTCTTGCATCTTGCGTAGTTAATTACAACTATGTACAGTGGGTCAGATCCTCAGCTGGGCATATATTGATTCCAGTGACAGTTCTGGCCCAGAGGATTTTATTTGATGGAGTTTTATACAAAAGTATAATTAATTTCCCAAGCTTTCAGACAGTGAAGAATCAGGTCCAGGCTCTGGTTGGTTAAGGATCAAAATGGCTATTGTGTTGCATTAGATGGCAGGTAATTTTAATATTTTTCCTGAAAAAGAATACTTTTGTAATTCAATATTATAGTACCATAGAGAATCATAGAGATGTAGGGCTGGAAGGGACCTTCAGAGGTCAATTAGTTCAACCGCCTGCCTGAGGCAGGATCATCTGTATCCAACCATCCTATACAAACCCATTGCTTAACTTATTAGAAAAAACTGTGCAGTCAGCCCTGACAAAACTGCAAGACACAACACCCTAACCTGCCACAGGAATAGCAGGGGGACCACAAGAGCCAATGTCCTGCTGCTGCAAGGTTGTTAAAATATACTTGAGAGATCCGAGGAAGAGGGCCGTGTTCTCACCCCTGCTACAGAGGAAGGCAGAGACCCCCCCACAGTCCATATCAATCTGACTATGGTGTAAAATTCCTTCCTGACCCCCCAAACGGCAATCAGTCCAACTCTGACTGATGGGGCACAACCCTTTAGCCAAGAACTTCTGGGTTTAGGTCCCAACAAGAGCACTGACACACCCCAGGCAAAATCCCCAGTTTTGGCTGCAGTGAACACCCAATGGTTTAGAGGAAGGCCTTTAAAATAAAACAAAACAACCTCCCCCCCACCAACTCCATATGTAGCAGGGGGGGGGAATCCCTCTTGGTCCCATGTGGCAGCTCGCAAAGGCCAGAAGTATGGGAAATACCTGGAGCATATATATCATTGTAATTATTTATTACTTTAGATCATTTAACCCAGACTTTCCCCCTCTATCTTCCCTGTTTTGCTGTTGATGCCAGCGTTATGTTCTGCCTTCCTTGTATGCATACATTATTACCCAGCACCCACAGTCCAATTTACCTTGAAATACTGATTGGTCCCTGGTACGTGTAAAACTACTGTCCCAGACTAGGTCAGGACACCATCAGCAATGTAAGCAGAGTAGGTCTGGTGGACTTTAGGAAGAAAGCTCTAGTGGCCCTATGTATTATTCACTGTAATTTGTAATCAAAGGTGTATTTGTCATAAATAAATCTATGTACATATGCCTTCATACCCTTGTACAGTAAAAACATTTGGAAGACTTTATATGTTTCATAGTAAAAATCATATATGCTCCTTCCTATCATCTCACTGCAAATAAGAGACGGAAAATTCAGGATTAATAAATAAATATGGATAGTAAGTTCAACAGCTACTCAGTACAGATGTCAATTCAGAGCAGATCTAACATCCACTGCCCGACATACAGACCTTCCCTCTTCAGGTTCTGTTTCCAGATGCCACATGTGTTTCACTGATATTTATAAGAGTTGCCCCTAGCAACCAAACAGAACAGAACCTCTTAAAGGAGTCGCACCCAGCAGCAAACTTGCACTTAGCTTACTATATTTCTTATGAAAAAGTGGGTTTTCCTTTAAATGCAGTGTCATTCACATATCTCCAAGATAAAACAGAGAGTACTAGAGGCAGCAGTTTCTACCCTGAACTAGCAGAGTTTTTATAATGAATAGGATGAGGAAAACTTAAAAGAGGCATAACAGGACAGCTCTGCGCTCTGGACAAGGGCATGTTTAGCTGGCAGCTGCTATTTTTGTGTCCCCACCTGGGTGCCCAGGGCTGCTGCCCCTTAGTTACGCTACTGCTAAAAAGTAATGGTTAAGACATATTTGACTTAACTGAATCATTTTCCTTTATTTTTTGTCTTTTTCCTGTTGATTAAAATGTATCCGTTAACATCTCAGAGACAGAGAGACACTTCGATACTTCTACTATTGAGCATATGGGCCCAGATTCTCTGGTCTGATCAAGATGAGCTTGGCACAGGATCCGGGATTTGAGGCTGCATAATTAATCAAAGCCAGTTTGCTCTCAGCACACCTCACAGCTCTCAGAGCTGGCTGCTCCAAACTTTGTTCATCTCTCTAAGGCCACAAGAAGCCATTCTGGCAAGTAGAGTTCACCAAAATCCAAGTCAGCTACTCTCCTTTTCTCTAAATCACACACCCCTAACTTGCAGCATGTCACATGGTAATCATGTGGAGTCTGGTTATGCCCGTTTTACAGACCCTCTGCACTGCTGGAGTGGTTTAAAGAACCCAAATGGAGGCCAAAAACTTAACAGCATGCAGCAAATTCGGGCCCTCTCCCTTATGGCTGCATGGAAGTGAGGTTGGGAATCACATATGCAGAGGATTCACATCATCACACAGCATGAAGGCCAGTTCTAGGAGTGTTCCCTTCACGTTCCTGTGCAGAGCAGGATCTGGCCAGGGAGAAGTGAGACTGAGGCTGGTGGAGAAAATGCCCCACGTTCCTCAGGTGTTCTAGGCTGGGCCCTTCAGCTCTAAACAAGCTGGGGTTGAAGCAAGCACTAGTTATTAGCTTACTATATGATTTACTGGGGGCAGTGATCCTCCGTGCATCATTGGGGTGCACAGAGCATTTGCCCTCATGACGGTATCAGATGGGGCTATCAGCCCTGTTCAGAAAGCTCAGCTATGGGGGCATTTGGCTGAAGAAGGTGCCTTCTACTGAGCTTTAACAGCTCCTGGAAGAGAAAGCAAAGGGGCAGAGGAAGCAAGCTGTAAAGAGAATAACTTGTTGCAAGGAGAAGCTAGGCTGCTGTGCTGGGGCCAGAGCAAAAAGTGTCTCTTCTCCTAGCTTCTGGAAGGGGACAGAAGATTTTGTGTTTGTTTGCTTACTGAATTTTGCTTTGGAGAACTGGCTGAGGAGCTCATGCGGGAGCAAAATCTTCTGCAGAAGCTAGCAGGATAAATAACCTGTTTACAGTCTCCCTACTCATCAAGATTAATGTTTGCTGAAATATCTATACTATCTGGAGACTGGTGGTTTTCTCACAGCTGGGAAAAAAGAATCACTTAAGGCTTTTTGCTTTTTGTAATAAAAAGCTGCTAGTAACACATTCAGCTAGAAATCTGGGGACATTTCACTCCATGTTTCCACCCCTGGAACACAGTGAAGAAATGTCAGCTGGCTCTAAACTAGTCACCCTGCTGCCAGGAGCTGCGCTTGGGCTCCCCGCCCTACTGTGCAATTCAGACAATTGCATTGTTGGCTTCAACACCTAGGAAACAAGTGAATTCTCGAGGTAGCTTTCACAGGGTGGAGTCAAGGGGAATGCCACATCTCAGAGGGAAAATCTCCAACAGCTGGAGGATGAGGTTAGGTTGGAGATTCCTGTTGACGATGCATCTAATCCAGCTTCTGCTCCAGTGTCACATCCAGTCCAAGCTAAGAATAAGCAGAGGGGATGGTGCTTGACATGGGAGGTTAGACCAAAGGCAGAGAACAACTGTTGCCAGCCTGCTTCTGTAAAAGAAGCAAGGCCAACAACAGTAGGGAGTAGGGTATGGAAGTTAAGGTTCTGTTTGCAACCTCAAGCAGTAGGAAGACGATAATTTCTTTAAGGTCCTAAGGGCGTGGGCTCTTTTTACAAAGAGGGAATGTGGTGGTAGGAGCAACAGGAGGAGGTATGCCGGATGAATTTACTGCTGTCCAGTGCCTCTGGTCATAATGCTGGGAACAAATGAGAGAGGACTGTGCTTTGGCCTGCAGACCTATGACAGTAGGCTAATTTTCATTTTTTTCCATAAGCCGCTGTGACAATGGGGCTTTCATTGGTAAAATCATAGAGAATTACTAAAGAGTCAGCAAACAGGGCTACTGCTGAAGCACATGATCTCTATGGGCATGTGTAGATGAAATGGGGGCCCTAAATTGAAGCAGTGGGTTTTTAAAAACACAACTTCAATTTAGGGCCACATAAACCCCAGTGTCATGCACATACCTGTGCACTTACTTCCCTTTCCAATGGCAGGGAGGGCAGGGTGAGCTGCCGGCGGGCAGAGTGGTCCCTGGGCTGTATGTGTGTGTGGTGGGGGTTGGTGCTTCCCTCTGCAGCAGCAGTGGCACCCTTTTAGGCAGGACCTGGCTGCAGGCACCCAGATTGGGTGGTCCCGGGGAGCACTGCAGTCATGGAGGGAAGCACCAAGCCCCTGCGCAGCTCAGGCAGGCAGGCCGGCTCCCGGGGGGGGCAAATTCACTGCTTTTTTTTTTTCTTGGGTGGAGCCTTCCTTCCCAGTCTGCTGCCAGGCTGCCTGCACGGGCTTCCTGCAGAGCCCCTGAGTTGCGTGGAGCCCAGTGCTTTGCTTCACAGCTGTAGGGCAGCAAACTAAAACTCCTCAAAGGAGTTTTAGTTTTCTGCAGCCTAAGTCATTTAAGGCACATTACGCTCCAGAATTTGCTACAGCAGCTAGAATTACTGCACGCTATGCCACTGACACATGCAAACACCAACACCATTAAAGTGGAGCAAAAGTATTTAAGCCGTTTTAAAGTATTGTGCACACATGCCCCTCATTTCATCTACACACGGCCTATTTCTTTAAAGTAATCCTGTCCACG